TTAAAGCGCAACGCAACCCCCTCTTCCCTTCCTAGTCCGGACAAGATTTTCCTCCTGTGGAGTTCACATCGCCACGTTTCTTCATGTATACACAATTAAATTAATTTTTCATGAGAAAGCGACAGTTGTTTATTCATGATGTTTCATTTGTTTTCTGCTATGGGAATACAAGACGCGAGGCTCCGAGATCTACACAGCAGTTATCGATGCGACCGTTTTCTGCAGCTGAAGAAATGAGAAGTCGTCTGCAAATTTTATGTAGAATGTTCACCAATAATTAGTTAATTTAGATGGAGTCTGGTCTCACTGCTCATTTCGTTTGTTCCGAGAAATGCGGTGGAATGAATCTCGCTTGTAACGCGTTCTCTAGGGACACGAACAAGAGGAACGTAGCTTTTTTAATTCAGCGGCTGGGTCGGAATAAAAACACACGTGCAGACGCTTTGTCTCCCAAGAGCCCTCTTTTCCCTCAGGAATATATGAAATATATTATTTGCAGTCTGTATACAGTTTACCTTTATTTTCTAACTGTGTTTAGCAGCTTCATGTTGAGTTTACTTTTATGTTCTAACTGTGTTTAGCAGCTTCATGTTCTCTACGTTAAAGTGTAAATGAAATTATATGCGGTCATTGTCCACTGGACGTACCCAGACACAGAAGCCAAAACTGGATTCCCTGAGACTCCGGTCCTAATGCGTTGGATCAGTTCAGTAGTTCGTTTAGCTCGTGATATATTATTTTGATAAATAAGTTTATTGATTTAGTGGAAGGAAAGGAAGACGCTGAAACGTTGGTCTATTAAAAATAAGGATAAAAATAACAGACAGTCAGCGGTTTAAATGTTGGAACATAAGTGCTGACTATTAATCACGGTGGTCTAGCGGTTAGAGCGCTGGCCTTGTAATCCTGGGGGTCTCGGGTTCGATTCCCGGCGGTGCCCGAATTTATAACTTGTGTTGGGCAAGGCCGTGGTCTAGGCAACACAGAGTTTTCCTCCGTGGCATCCCAACAATTACTCCATTCACACACAGAAGAAGGCAATGGCAAACCACTTCTGGATCATCTGCCAAGAACGTATATGAACAGGTCCCAGTCCGAGAAAAGGATGGAAGGATCCTGTTCATATGGACCTGTCGCCAGACAATACACTAAATAAATAATAAATAAAATAAATAAGTGCTGACTTAGGCGTAAAGTTGTTTCTGAGGACTCCCACGCTGGTGGGCGTTCGTGTATAAAGCTGGCCACGGCATTTACTAACGCGTAACTGCCCGTCCTTACAGAATTGCCGCGTATTTGACAAAGTCCAGTTAGACTAATTAAAGTAACGAGTTCTTAGATATTTTGCTGACTTCATATTGGCAAGGATGTGGAACTGTTCATGGGGTAAATGTCTGTGTTGCCCCTGCATGGGGGGGGGGGGGCGAGACGATTTCCGGGCCAAGATTTGAATCCACTATTCCTTTAAAACGAAGGACGATTGTTTACCAATCGATAGTGACGTTCGGTAATATTCAATCTCTTAGATTAATAGTCGCTACTGAATTTCTGTTTTGAAAGAAGCCCCTTCTTATCTGAAGCCCTTGCCGTCTGTATCAAGTATATACTAGCGTGTTAGCGACCCCTCTCAGCGATGCTAATTAAGAACACAACCCCTTCTGTGTATTTGTGGAACCAAGAATATTGAACCACGCTTAGCCACGGATGGTGGAAGTATATGCAGTGCCCCACCCTGTCCCGATATCAGAAAATAGGTCCTCTTTGAAGCATAAAGTACAGGCTCTGATCAAAGCAGAACAGAACACTGTCAGACAAGGGGTTGGCTAATTTACTGTGAGATCTGTGTACACTTTGCCTATCAGGTGCGTTATCAGCACTGACGGCATTTAAATTGGACACAGAATGTGAGTCACTGAATGTACAGTACATTCAGCTCATAGAGAATGAAGCAAGTGTTAATGTCTCCCCCTCGGGGGATCTTAGAGCTTTATTTCTGATCAATTTACAAATCTTTTTAACCCTTTAGAATAAGTAGCAGTTACACGTACACCAACTTTAATATTCAGTAACCCTGTATTTTGTATTTATGTGTTCCATGTGATTGTCAGTGTAATCAGTGATCATTGCCCTAAGTGTATTTTGTATTTATGTGTTCCATATGAATCTCAGTGTAATCAGTGATCATTGCCCTAAACAGCATTAACCATTCGTCTTTGTAATTTGTGTTGCGTTTGAATACCATTTGAAAGTGCTTCGTGTTTCAGAGGCCGAGGTTCCCCTAACCTCACATTATCAAAGAAGGCTTTTGTTTTGCCAAACGCGGGGTTTTTTCAGGTGTGTGACCCACGCGGTTGGCAAAAGATTGTTTAATAATAATATGATGATTGATAAGTCTGGTGTAGTGAATAGTTGTCCTCATTTTATTCCAAGGAACGTAGAAAAATAAAAATAACGAAACCAAATAAAGTTAGATAAAGAAAACTCCTGGTACTGAGGAAATAATTGTAGACAGTTCTGACAGTTGAAGTACTACGAGCGTTTTCATCATTAAAATACGAGCTCGAGTAAACCAGGGACTTTCTTTCTGGCTTCAGTTGAGGTAAACAAGGATTAAACCCAAGAGACAAAACCTGCGAGTAATAAATACGAGTAATGAAGAAGTTAAATCGATTTGAGTCCTCAAGAGGTTGCTTCTGACTTTCGATATTCATAGTAATTGCCAAAACAAAGTTGTGTCAAAAACGACAGTGTTAATAATTACGAAAAACCCCAGTTTAAGATTCTGTGAACATACGATGGGCAACACCGACACACATCGAATCTCTGGATTTGGCAGGGATTTTTTTTTTCAAGCAGTTGTTGGGATTGAGTTTATTGCTTAATTTCAGGAATATTTTACTGGCGTTAAGTCTTAACTGTTTTTGTAATTTATTTTGTGTTCATTTCCCTAATTTTTTCGCCCGTAAATCCTTTAAGGAAGGGGAAGGAGTGGACGGATGGGAAGCATGGGAAGGTGGGGGGACATGGGGAAGCTCGCTGGCGGGATTGGCGAGCGAAGCGAGGAGTAGATTCCCTAGTTAATTGCATAATATTGCTTTTTCCCCAACCGAAGATATAATTTAGTGTACCAGCTTTGTCTGTAGCGAGTTAAATGTTCTTGTGGCTTTGAATTTATCCAAGATAATACAGTACAATACTTAAAAATAGGCGCAGTGACTATGTACTGGACGACTGGGGTTCGATCCTCGACAGGGACAGAAGTTTTTTTTTTTTTCCTCTAGCCTCTGCGTCCAGACCGGCTCTGGGGTCCACCCAGCCTCTTATCCAATGGGTACCGGGGTCCTTTCCCGGGGGTAAAGCCGGCCGGGGCGTGAGCCTGACCACTCACCCCCATCTAGTGCCGAGGTCAAGGAAGAGAGGAGCTATATCTCGTCCCTCCACTTCGACATGGGTTGTAGTGAGGAGCTTTACTCACTTTTTGTTTACATTTTGCTTAAAAATAAATTGCGAACGCTACCTTCCTGATCTATACCCGTTAACATCGCCACGGTGGTCTAGCGGTTAGAGCGCTGGCCTTGTAATCCTGGGGTCTCGGGTTCAATTCCCGGTGGTGCCCGAATTTATAACTTGTGTTGGGCAAGGCCGTGGTCTAGGCAACACGGAGTTTTCCTCCGTGGCATCCCAACAGTTACTCCATTCACACACAGAAGAAGGCAATGGCAAACCACTTCTGGATCATCTGCCAAGAACGTATATGAACAGGTCCCAGTCCGAGAAAAGGATGGAAG